TAGATTTCACGTAGTATTTTCATCGGTCAGTTGTGGAGGTCTGATTGGTTAAAGCTTTATTTATATAGTACCTTTTAAAACTGTGTATACAAAGTAGCCTACTTTACAAAGAGATGCATGTGTGTATTTGCAGAAAAGATCAAAATACAAACATAAAAGAGATATAGTAAAACAAAGTAGCTATAATAACCAGTTTGTTAAAACAAAAATACAACAATAAAAAATCAAGGAAAGACCCTGCACAAATCTGTTTTGAGACTACTTTTTAAAAGTGCATAATGATAACGTTTGACGATGTTTAATTCAGGTGCGAAAATAATTAATATCTATAGTGCATGAGCACAGAGATTTGAGAGTGCACAGGACACAGTTTGAGTGAGAGGAGAGACACGTTTTAAGTGCGCGCACTCTCTCTGGGCGAGAGCAGCGTGTATCTGAGCGCGAGCGTCCGGTTTTGTGCGAGAGCAAGGGAAATCCGCGCGCGAGCGGAGAGATTCGCGCTCGCGCATTGTATTAATGTGCTTTCGCGCTACAATAATGCGCTCTCGACATTTGTCATTAAAATAACGCCATACTGTAGTAGCAATCCATCCAATTTGGCATATTTTTATATGTCTCCATGATATGTGAGCGCAAGTTATACGTTCTCGAATAACATTCCAGTATTCGATATTCCACTCACTGCTTTTAAAAATGCTTATAAACAAAATTAAGTGGGAACAAAAATGTTAAACAGTCAAAACTTACATTTGGAAAACTAACAGGCATTGCTGGAAATGACATCATCAATTAAAACTGTATTATTGGAGCATCATTTTCAAAGATTTCAGAAATATGTAAATATTATAGTGCATTTTCACAATTATTAAATAACTTTTGTCTCGCACAATTTGCATTTGACCATTTGTACTACTATAGTACATGTAGAAAATTATCATAGTATTTACTATAGTAGTACTATAATTTACTACATGCATATATTACTATAGTAGTACCATGGTGCCATGTCCAAAATAATGGTAATTTTATTATTACCATTACTTTTGTTATTTGTCGTCTCAAAACATCTTTATATAAGAAGATTAGTAGTTTGTAGTTTGACAGAGGAAAATGTGTCGTAAGTTATTAATGTGTGTACAGGATTTGAGTTTTATGAAAAGGTAATTATGTTTGATTATCCTGTTAGAACAAACCAGTGCTTGGTCAAGGATGTATAATGTAATGTGACTCAAATAGGATTGCATAACCAAAAAGCTTAACACCTCAGTGAAAGTACAGCTGGATTAGGCCAGAAGTGCTACTCACACTAACCCATATTGCTTTTGTGTTTGACTACAGATGAATAAGACCCGTCTCATTTATTGTCTCCACAGCTGATGCGGACATGTGCCGACTTGTTCCGGCTTTTGCCCTTCATAGTCTTTGTCATCGTTCCCTTCATGGAGTTTCTGCTCCCTGTATTCCTCAAACTCTTTCCAGAAATGTTGCCTTCCACATTTGAGACAGAGTCCAAGAAGGTATTATAAGCTTACGTTTTAAAAAAATTGATAATGATTTCAGCCTATTTTGTTTAGCCCGAATTATGAAACACAGGCATAACAAGTCTGATGAATCTGAGTAATAATTTTCATTGTTCAGAATTGTTGAGTAATGACTAATGAAACAGCTGAATTTGTTTCTTTTACTCTCACAGGAGGAAAAACAGGAGAAGGGACTCGCTGCTAAACTGGAGCTGGCCAAGTTCTTACAGGAGACCATTGCTGAGATGGCCAGGAGGAATAAAGCAGCTGTTGGAGATGAGACTCAGAGGTTCTCGACTTACGTGCAGCAGGTGAGTTCGATAATCGAATCCATTTTTTCATATCGTGTATAGTATAAATTGTTCTGGATGTGACTGATGCTTCTAACTTGACCGTTATAGGTGAGGCACACCGGTGAACAGCCCAGCACCAAAGACATCGTGAAGTTCTCCAAGCTCTTTGAGGATGAGCTGACGCTGGAGCATCTGGAGCGGCCGCAGCTGGTGGCCTTGTGTAAACTGCTGGAGCTGCAGCCCATCGGCACTAATAACCTGCTGCGTTTCCAGCTGATGATGCAGCTGCGCACCATCAAGGCCGACGATGAGGTGAGACAAATCCAGACAACTGCTACTGACCCTCTAATGTAGTTTTACAGCTGAATTAATGACTTGACATGTTGCTGTGACCTCAAGGTTTCTGGGTGACTAAACCATACATCTTAAAATTGTCCACACAGAACACATAAGCTACTTTACTATATTTTTTTTATGTAAACATGCTCTAGAGCAGGGGTAGGCAAATTCGGTCCTAGAGAGAGAAAAAAAAAAACTCACCCGCCTATAGCCTTAGTAATCCTGAAGACATTGATTAGCTTGTTCAGGTGTGTTTGATTAGGGTTGGAGCTGAACTCTGCAGGACTGCGGCTCTCTAGGACCGAACTTGCCTACCCCTGCTCTAGACAAACATCTTTGACCATTGCTCTTGCATCTTGTGTATGACACGCATTCTAAAAGCACGGCTGTCAAATTAAAATAAGTTCAACTTATTAAAAACATGTATCAAGTCTTCTGCGTTTGATATGTTAAGGAGATGATCTCAGCTGTTGGATAAACTTGATTTTTGTTTTCATGTGTCTCTGTAGATGATCGCCAAGGAGGGTGTGACCACAATGACTGTAGCCGAGCTCCAGGCCGCCTGCAGGAGTCGCGGCATGAGATCTTTGGGTCTGACCACAGATCAGCTCCGACAGCAGTTGCAGCAGGTGTGTGTGCACAGACCAGCCTGACTAGGTTGCAAAACTGCCTGTTGGAGGATATTTATGACTGTTTGCCACCCAAAGACTGTAGACAAACTGAAAGTGAAACATACAACAGACTTTAAACCAGGGGTCTCCAAACTCGGTCCTGGAAGGCCACTGTCCTGCAGAGTTCAGCTCCAACCCTAATTAAACACAGCTGAATCAGCTAATCAAGGTCTTACTAGTGTGGCGGGAGGAGCAAACGACAGACACAGTGGGTGTGGCGTCAGGACTCGGAGAGGCTTTTATTTAACAGAAAATAAATATAAAATGTCTAAAACGGGGAATAAAGTGTCCAAAGAGGAAGGAGTTAGGGGATCTGGTGTCCTCATTGTGCTGGGGAATCGTGAAGGAAGGGCAGTGTTCGGAAAGGAGTGGTCCAGGTAAGGGGCGGAGTCCCTCCTCTCTCCATCCACATGAAAACGCAAAAGCATGCTATGAAGCACTGTCAAGAGCATGCCAAGCCAACAGGTGGCGATATAATCTCAACCGTAAAGCCATGTTGGCCAATCAGAAGCCTGAAAAAGTTTCCAGTAGGCGGAGATAACAGCGCATGCTCCGACGTCACAAGCCAAAATCTCCGGTTTCGCTGTCTACACGATAACACTGCAACCGGAGTTTTTGAAAATCTTCACCCCGGCAGGAGGTTTAAAATTTTTTTCGGTTTCAATGACCTGGTGCTGTGTTTGTGTGTGGACGAACAGCCAAACCGCATAGAAAAAGCTGCGGTTTTGAAAATACCCGCGTTCGTGTGGACAGGGCCTAAGAGATGGGGTGATGATGATAATTAGGGGGGAGGCAGCCGATCCATCACACTAGGCATGCTAGAAACGTCCAGGCAGTTGTGCTGAGGCAAGTTGGAGTTAAAGTCAGTGGGCCTCCAGGGCCGAGTTTGGACACCCCTGCTTTAAACAATCCTCTTATATTTACCTGCTTGTGTAATGCTTGTGCCCGCTGAGCATTGTTTTCCTATTGTCACGGGGTGGCATTGGCACCGTAATGCTGCCTCATTGGTGCTTACAGCTATATTTCTGATTATTTCCCCCCCATGTTGACATCTGTGTATATGTCACTGGATGCTTTGAGTCACTGATGAATTGTTAATTGTAATTTGTGTTCTTTCTCTCTCAGTGGCTGGACCTGCACTTGAAAGAGAATGTGCCACCGTCCTTGTTGCTGCTTTCTCGTGCAATGTATCTGACGGACCTCGCTCCTAAAACTCCAGTCATCCCACCGGTGCCCAAACTGGAGGTGATAATTCAATTCTATTCTAGTTTGTCTAAATAAATTTATAATAAAATACTACAGATCAAAATCAGTCCTCTAAATGTTACAAGTGAATTTGGCATCACAACATTATAATGTACAGTATTAAAAATGGATGCTCATTTTGAGTTTTACTAAAGATTGCATTTAACAGTGTTGGTAAATCATTAGTTTGTTAAAGATTAACTTTAAGTGAGTAAATATGTTGAATGATAATAGAAAACGTAACTCTATGATACTCCAGTTACCAATGTATCATATATATCGCCACTTCTATCCCCTCAGACTATCCAAAATATACCAAATATATCCAGCTTATCCGTTTCACATAATGTAAAATTGTTTTCAAACACTACAATTATGTATGTAAAAAAATTCAATATGCTTTCTGTAAATATCCAAAGAGCATGCATACATAATAAATTTCTGTAACAGGTTGTAAATATTGATGTATTTAATAGGCACATAGACTTTACTCTCTGCTTGAAAACTTGCCTCAGTACTTGGCAACAGATTACCTTTGACCTTTGAAACCTTAACCAATTGATGTCTAGACCTTAATCAGGCAGAAATGCAGACTGGCACGTCACTGCCTAAGTGACAGCTGATAGGTTATCACTGTTCTGTTAATGGTTGTTATGGTTTCATTTGTAATGACCTTCTTTATGTCTGTGTCACAGAAAGCCACTCCTCCTCCTGTGGAGGCCGAAACAGCAGCTAAAGGGAATCCGCTGTCCTCCTCAGTGGAGGTGCTGGTGGATTCTGCTCCGGTCATCAAAGACAGAAAGGTAGGAATGTTTTTATAATATCACCAATCAATCAATATCTCAGTCTTCAAGAGCACTCCAGGTTATCAGTCATTGTATAACAAGAAATGGTTACAAAGAGTTTTAATTCAAGATATTGTTAACTCTTTGATTATGTATTTTAGTCTGAAGAATTGTTGGAGAAACCCAGAGGGCTGGACATGCCATCACCCGAAGCTCAGTTAATACATGTAAGTGTGTCGCACAAGATATTGTATTGGTCACTCAATGTGTGTGTATCTATTGAAAGGCGAAGAGTCAACAATATGTGGTTTTGATAAGATTACTTTGATTATTGCACATATTTGCTTTTAATGTTTTAGGCAATGGTTTTATTCAGAAACTTCATTCACCTGAAAAATCTCTTATCAAATATTAAAATGTAATATTTTGAATAGTAGTTTTCATATTATAAAAAAAAAAAAGGATTATATATTGTATTTTCTTTAAATCTTTCCATTTTTATAGTAGTTGTAATATTTTAAAAGGTTTCATTTTATATTGCATTTTTAGCTTTTATTTTTAGCATGAGTTTAGAATGCCCATCAAATATATGTGACCTTGGACCACAAAAAAGCCATAAAGGTAAACATTTTTCGAAATTGAAGCTGAATAAATAAGCTTTTTTTTTTTTTGTTAGGATAGGACAATATTTGGCCGAGATACAACTATTTGAAAATCTGGAATCTGAGGGTGCAAAAAAATC